CATGGTTTGCAGTGGAGGGTGCCAGCAAGACGATGATGATTGGTTGGCATCTCTGCTCCTCTCATAACACCAGGGTACGTTACAGACGCCGGTAGAGCAGTTCTGCTTCGCAACCAAGAACTGTGACCTGCAAAAATTCAGAATCTGCCAGACGCTGCATATTCGTTTCCTGGAACATATGAACGTTGAACGGTGAAAGAAATCTTCATTGCTGCATCCGAAATGCAGTCTAATTCAAGTTGACATCTTGGAGCTCTAAGATACTCACCCGCCAGGTCAAGAAGATCAGCGCTTCTAGAAGGAATAGTAGCGGTACTTGCCTGGTATCCAGGATTCTCACCGCATGGCTGGAATTACAGTTTTACCTTTCCTCGAGCAGTATGATTTTGATTTCCGTCGAGGACATGAATAATTGTGTTATCGTTTCTGAATACGCGGCAGTGGACGTTGCTTAATGTTAATCTGGTTAATCATTTTGTAACGGCCAAAAATAATCAGTCTGGCCAACTCTGCTATTCATTCGCTATTAGCATTCGCTGTCATGACGGTGACAGCAGCCGCAAGTTCTAAATAGCAAAGATTTTTCTATACGTCGTTTACACTCGTGTTGCTGGCCATGTCTTATGCATGCATTCACTGAATATCCACTGTGCATCGTCATTTCACAACTTTCAGTTTCTTGCAGGTATACCGAGACGTGTGTAGCTCTTTAAGGAGCTTTCCATATTTGAGTCACAATTGCAGGGAGATTGTAACGGACGTGCGTTTCTGTCCGTTCGAGGATGTACTTGGAGTGGGCCACCGCGGTGGATTCGCAAGCCTTCTCGTGCCTGGGGCAGGCGAACCTAATGTAGACGCTTTTGAAGCCAATCCACATCAGTCAAGCGCTCAGCGCAGGGAAGCCGAAGTTCGCCTTTTGCTAGATAAGGTACGAGTGCTGGTTTTTTTGGCGTCACTGATGTCATCGACGGCCCGTTTCTTCGTTATAGATTCAGCCTGAAATGATCATGTTGGATAGCGAGATTGTCGGTAAAGTGGATAGAGAAGGCTTACTTGCTAAAACGGGCGTTTCAGCAGAAACGGTTATTCATTTTCAGTTCATCATCTGCAAGTTTCTAGTGATCTTTCTGTTGTTTAGAGTTTCAAACCTGGACGAATGAGCCGAACAATTACATCGAAAGGTGGAAAGACTTCCATTGCGCAATTGAAACGTAAAAGGATGTTGAAAGAGCTGCAGATGAAAGTAAATTATATTTTGCACATGTTTCGTTATGATAAGAAATTTTAGGAGCATGTCAATGAAAGGCGCCTCAAAAAGAAAGCTGCCAAATCTGTTGCCGATTTTAAGGCGGACCTTGCACGTTTCACCGATGAGGACGAATCAGCACATGTGCTGACTGTTCT